ATTTTGTGTGATACCGGAAGTGTTAACGTTATTTGGCTCTTTTGTAAGTGTTCGCTAACTGTCTGTCTTGACGCCCTCCAATGAGGGGGCTGGAAATGTTAGAGCCAATCTAAAGAGAAATATTTTTGATACTGTTTCAGTTATTATGTTACATGTATGATTTTGTATAATATGTTGTTAGAGAATATATGCTGCGTGTTTAATTTTGTGTCGGGTAAGAAAACATTACAGCGCATGTGTGGTAGCAGGTTAGAATGAGCCAGGACAGCAATGGAAATGTGCGCTGTAGCAGCAAATAGTTTATTGACCGTGATATCGTTTGTTTGTATGTACGAGTTAGAAATAAATCTGGACAGCTCACATTAAGAAATGAAAGAATTATTTTTTCAAAGCTTGGGACAGAAATTCGCCACTACACATCCAGTCCAGATCTATCGTTGTATGCTTAATATAAGAAATATTAACAATATCCTGACCTGATTGAAGACAAACACCACCTTTAGTTCATATGGGAAAATTGCTCAGGACTCCACAGACATGCTAGCAGCTCAGTAAGGCATCACAGCAGAGCTTCAAGTTAAACAGTAGCACGCACACAAGAAATCTCTCTGCTGAAGTAGGCTGCAGATGTGTAGAAACTGTGGGTTACCGAGATCAGCTGATCTGCTGGGATTATGGCTGAGCTTCACTCAGTTATAGCTGGGGTTTTTTTGTTTTTCTAACAAAAAATGATTTTTGTGAAAAGGCATAGTTTAATCCAAACAATGGTCAGGTCCTAATCTTAACCAGTTCATTTCAACTAAAAGCTGAAACAAAAGATGAAAAATAAATAAATAATCCAACTAAATTACAAAAAAGTCAAACAAAAAGTGTCTTCCAAGTGAAATAGATCAATTCCTCCACCGCAGCCTGTTCCTCAGGATGACTTTGTTCCGTCATTCTGCCAGACCTAACTTAACACCAGACTTCCTCGTCTACATTTCCTCGGCCTGTTTCTTTAAAGTTGCAAAGTTGTGCCATTACAGCAACAGGACAGGTCAGTTATGAAAATGCTGGAGGAAAATCACCAACACACGATAAATGATGGACCAACCCGTTTAACCAACATGCCTTGCAAGATTAAAGCTATGAGAAAACAATGCAAAACGGGGGGGACTTTAAAAAAAAAAATACTGCCAAAAGAGAGGGTTAGGGTCGCCATAGGACCTTCACTTTGAACGTGAACGTACCCAGCCCTGGAACTGAGCCACTCATTGCTGTGCTGCTGGTTGAGACTCTGAAGGCCAAAAGCTACAGAAACCACATTTAGGGCACAGTGAAGGAAAGCACTGCATTGAAATAAATACTCTCAGCATTCCTTTTTTTCTAAGTAAATATTTTCACTGGGGAAAAAGCCTCAGTTTGGCAAACATACAAATGGTTCCACACAAGATTTTCCAAATGGATGGGCGCATTTTTCTGAAATCTCTCAAACCTGATACTGTAGATTTAGGGGCCAGACCACCTTTTGTTTCATGTTTCACAAACCCCCGCAGTTCCTTACCACAGCTCCCTATTTCAAGGCTGTCGTTGAATAGCCAGCAAACCATTTCCTGAAGCTCCGAGGTCACTGGATAAATGATGTTTTCATTTGACAACCCCAGGTCGCCGCTAAAGGAGGGTCTTCGGAGGGAGCCTTTTGAAATTACAGTACTGATGAAGCGTGAGAAATTACAGGCACTTAGAAGTGATTTCATGAGCACAAGAGAGCTTAGGGACCACCCCCATGCAAGCAAGAGGGACCGATGGCAGTGAGTACACAAACACACATGGCCTTGCATGTGCACAATGTTAATATATAAACACATCCGCACACACACACGCCCCCCACACACACACATATCTCCCTCAAGTGCAGATGAATCAGCACCATAACAGTTTCCTCATCCTCAAATGCGTATCATGTGTTGAGGATTGTTTTTCTGTGTACGATAATAAAATTGACCTTACAGTTAAGTACATGGTGGAGTTAAATGAAAGTCATATTCAGGAGCCAGTCATTGTGTTTTTTCACTGCTTGAGTTATCCTAATGGAGATCGGCTGAGACGAGTAATGCCCGAGGGCCACTGGTCCCTCTCCACCCTTCCTGGGAATGGGCTCTCGGTCAGGATGGGTTTGGAAGGAAGCCTCCGATTTTTTTGCCTGGCCCTCTGCTAAATCAGAGCTATGTAGAGCTGGTTTGGACCTGAGCCTCGGTAATGATCTATCCCTGGAACTGCTGAAGTGGAATCATTTTCATCATGGTCTATGCCTCTTTAGTCCCTAGAAGGGGTTCCCTCTGTGTGCATGTGTCAAGTTTTCAAGCATTATAATTTCATTTCACACTGTTTACTTTGGTGATTTGCAGCACATTGCACCAGTGTGAAACTGAATCATTTAATTTAACCACCCACAAGTATAGTACCAACCCAATAGATAGCAGAAGCCCTTCATTCACTTTGCTATTGAGTTTACACAAAACAGTGTTTCCCTACTTTTCTCTACAACAGAAGCTGGAGTCAAAGCCCCCCCAGCGTGCCCGTCTGGTTGCTGTCTGTCTCTGTTTGGATTCTGTTCGAGCCTCGACTCTCTTTTCACGATCTCTGTCCAAAAGTGTCACTCAGCTCTAAGTTGAGCAGCAAGTGCATTCATGCACACTTACACAAAACGCTCGCACAAATGCCAACTCCTGAAACCTCCCTGAAGAGAGGGTGATGGAAATTCTGCAACAAATTAACAGCTATAGGACTACAAAGCACATCTGTGACATTACATTGGCTTGCTCAGTTTAACAGTACAAACGTTTATTTTCTTAGGCCTCTGCATCTGCTGAAATGTTACACTACTTTAACAGCAGTTGAAATTCTTTTAAAATAATCTTTTTGCGTTTCTTGTTGAGAATGAGGTTAAATTATTCATTAGAGTGGCGATAAATAATCGCTGACTCAGTTGTTAAATTAATCTTCAAAAAGATCTGATTGGACAGATCTGTTTATTTTCATGCAAAAAATCTGAAAAATAAATGCTGCAAATTCATCCAACAAAATTACACAGTCGGTGCGAATGGCTGCGTTAAGATTAGGTGAGTTCAAAAGATATTTCTAACATGCAAAATTTTCACATGAATTTTATGCGTCTTGTGTGTAAAGTCCTTAACAATGGTCACTGGTGAGCTTTAAAACTCCAGGAGGCAGTTTTATTTATCATGCTGCTAGCAACTGCTAGCTAGTTAGACTGGCAGTTAAATAATCATTTTGGGTAAAGGTATTTTTACAATTTTTAGTTTTGATTAAGAAACAATTTTAGCTTAAAATTCCTTTTGATGGTACACTGCCCTGTAAAAGTGAGAAGGGCTTCTTAGATCTAAGTTGGGTGAACACATAAAGCCCTTTTCCACTAGTACCTGGTTGATTTGACGTGACTCGACTCGGTTTATGTTGTTTTCCATTACAATTAAGTTCCACTTAATGTGCGTGGCAATTGGCCGATATTTCTGTGACATCATTTGTGCAACATGAACTCCACAACAATGGAGGAAGTCAAGTCGATGGTGTACCTGCTGCTATGCAAATGGCTTTTGACAGACTCAGAGACCACAGTGTTGCCATTTTTCTCAATGCCAGGTTTCAAAAATGGCGTTTTTGATTTCTGCGAAAGAGACGTTCATTAGACTCACTGAGTGATACCACTGCCACAAACTATGGGTCTTTAGCTAGCTATAAGAAGAACCTAGCTCTGTATTCTCTGTAACTACAATAAAACAGACGAAAGAAGACCTAGACTCCAGTCACAGAGGCATAAAGACTGGTTGGCGACCCCACCTGGCAATGTACAAAATCCTCCGTGTGAATGCTTTGGTTGCTAGCATATTGCCAAGCTCGCTCACAGTATTTAGAGAAGATATTGGCATGCCTGCACACACTCGCTAACCACCAAGCATGAGTTAAACTTGAAAAGAATGTTTGCTTTCAAAGTAAAAGTTTGAAGCTGAAAACAAGTCATTTTAAAAAGCCCAACTTTCAAACTGTGCAACCTCAGATCAAGTTGGGATATTTTAGGTGTGGTACCATGCACCTCTTTGCAACAAGCAGGACGACTGCAGGAGGTTTGCTTGCGACTAGCAAACAACCTCCTACAGTTACCCACTTATCATCTGAGGAACACTAATTTTTGCATTTTCCCAGTGAAAAGTGGTTCCCTTTGTGACTGTTGCTTTAATTTCCAGAGGCTCGGCCACTAGCTAGATGTCTTAGTGAAAAGTAAGGGACAACCGTTGGGGTGAAGGAACCAAAAATTGCAGTTTCTTTAACTGTCACTTTAGGCTGGCTCCAAAAACAAGTTCTTCTCCATAGACTCCATAGACTCTTCTTTAAGGATAGCTTCCCCCTTCAAAGCAGCAGTATGGTGGATGACTTTTGTTATTTCTCATCTATCTGGATACTGAATGTATCCAAATGGATTATGCGCAGGCCACTGTAGCTGATTTCTGTCTGCTAGGCCTCACCTCCACAAATCAGTTATTCGGGTTGGACCTCTCCACTGAATTCATGCTGTTGGTGCTACAGGTTATGAATGCAGATTATTGGCTGGTGCCTTTGAATTCCACCCTCTCGTCCAAATATGGTGGCTAAAACAATATGGTCATGGATGGATGATGGACTATGGCTCTGGCGACATCCATCTTTTTTATGTCATCACTGTTTTCAAAGGATAATATTTATGAAATATTTCAAATTAAAATAGGTCAGCTTTGACTTGAACACAGTAGGAGGGTTCATTTTTCCTCCATACAGGATTTCTTTTTTGTGCCACATAAAGCGCCTAAGCCACCAGAAAATTACCAGCAATATAATATTCCAGTGCTATGATGGACTGGTGGCCTGTCCAGGGTGTACCCCGCCTTTTATCCCATGACAGCTGGGATAGGCTTCAGCCCCCCCGTGATCCTGAATTGGGTAAGTGGAAGAAAATGGATGGAAAATGGACGGCTGGATTATTTTTTAAATTAAGCTCTTTGTTTAAAATGTTTGATAAGAGACATCAAAAGCCTTTGAGCTCGAACATCTGGCTCTATGGGCGCAACTAACATTTTATGACATTTCCAGCCACAGTTTAATTGAGGTGTTATGTACAGATTATTTGTTTTATTCCATACACTGATCACTTCACATAAGCCCCAGAATCAGAGCCAGCTCTTCCGTGCACTGCTGTCATTACTACACCACTTATCCAGGCCCTGCATGTCTGTCTCCACTCCTCGTCCTACTCATGTACACACATATATACAAAACTCATACATCAAAGCGCTGCACTCGATTCCACGCAAAAGATAAACATGGGAAGCCCTGCAGATGGTTAGCTCTAGGATAGAGGTTTCTCTGTATGTTCATGTTTGCATGAGTGTTTGTGTGGAGATCTCCTGAAAGATGTTAGAAAAATAGAAGTGTCTGTATATTTCTTTCCATCTTAAACCTCTTGGGTGGACCAAAGACGAGGACTTTTTTTTTTTTTTGCACACAGCAGATATTATTCACACATGTAGGATAACATTTGAGCAGAGCTGGCCAGCTTTATTAGTGGCAGTTTACAGGGATATCTATGACAGTCCCATAGCTCTCTGGAAGCTCCTTTACATTATTTCGGGGTAATGGCAGGTTAATGGAAGCCAGGTGGAGCCTCACTCCACCAGGAGCACTTGATTGACAGTGAACTGTGTCGATGAATTGGAGTGCAGCTACCCACAATCAGGGTCGGGATGGAAACATGGCAATTCTCAAACAACAGCTGCTTTTCTTGGCCACAACAGAGGCGCCATTTCCACTCATCTAAGACTACTCAGTACATGTAGATATGGTCATGCATGTGCGTCTGGCTTTTCTCTTTGCTTGTTTGTGATTAAATGTGTCTATTGGCTAAATACTATTGCACCAAGTCCCTCGAATTTGAAGCCTGGATTTTGAGCGTAAGCACTTAAAAAAATAAGTGGAAATGAACAGCGACATTGCTTCATAGAGGGTGGCCTGTTCAGTGTCACTATGTTTATAGTGTAGTTAAAACCATTTGGAAAGTGCGAAGTCCAGAGTAGGATTCTGATTATTGTATTTATGTTTCTTTTGCTTTAGAGCAAGGCATTTTTCCCCACTTAAATATAATCAAGATTACGTTCACAGAGTTACTTGGTTTGACTATTAGCGATAAGTGGCTAATGATAGCTAATTTTTGATAGCTATTAACGATTGTAATTAGTTTGTTAGTTTGTTGACGTCACCACTTTTGGGTTTATATTCTTTGATATTCTTAATCTTGACAAAATCAGTGCTGCAGTAGCAGAGCTACAGTCAATCTGAATCATTCATTTCAGTTCCATAAACTTGTTGTAGTAAGAAACTGTCCGATTAAACTGACACAAAAAAGGCTATCCTGTTTGTTTCTTTCTGGCATATTTGGTTTAAATCATGTTTATTTTCAGATTGATTTGACTATAAATGAAAAACAGAGCGACAGAAAGTCAGGTGGCAAAATCCGACTCAAAATTAGCAGAGACTGTTTTTTATTTATGATTCACCGAAAACATTCTTGTGTTCATGTTGATGTCTTAGGAAAAATGTTTAGTAGCAGACCAAGAGTTAGACTGCAGGCTATTTGTGTTTGAAATGCAAAAACGGGTGTCATTGGACATTAGAAGGTTAAATTTGCCATGATATGCATAAACCTTGCATTGACATTATTTGAAGTAGATCTTTGGGAGATTACTTGATGCTAAAGGGAAAACCTTTTGCTGTAAGGCCAAATATTTCTATGGAAGGGTGGAATTTGGCCATTAGGGCAGCTTTCGGTTACAACATAGATATTCTGTTCTCATTAAAAAAGAACATAAGATGAAACACCAGATATGTCATATCTATTATATGTCATATGTATGGTAATGTGAGCAGAACTGCTGCAGTACAAATTTGGATTTTTAAATCACCCATCCGATGCTCAACCTATTACAGCTTTTTTTTTTTGTTTTTTACATCATTTTATACATAAATTTATCACTTCCCTTTCATGGTTGGTTCATCTTCTATCAGCAAAGCAAGCTGCATGCTCTCCATTTTTTTAAATTTACAGTGGCACTAGTGTACAGAACAACAACACTGTATGACGATTTTTAATTTATACTCTTTTTAGAAAATTACAGATTACACGGGGACCACGTGATACAGATGGTTCATACTCCCACCGGTAAAAAAAATCAGATCAGGCTTCTTGCAGATCATCAAGACAATAACTTGTTCTCCAGAAAAAATCAAGAAATACACTTGAAACTAAATCTATTAGGATATACGCTCATTTCCTCATTTAGCCACTTGTGATGATATCAAGGGGTGTTTTTTTTAAATTCTTTTTAAGCTTATTTACAGCATATATCTTATCTGTTGTTGTTCTTTTGCTGTCGCAAATCTTTTAGAGGGTCGTGTTTTGATGTTAAAATCCCTCTTAGTATTAGGTCGTGCTTATGCAGCCCTGATTTAGATGTCTGAGTCTATAATCACAATATGCTGTTCAGCTCTTTCTCTGAGAGCCATGATTGGGATGTTAACTGCTTGGCAAAAGAACATGACACCCAGGGTGACACGGGGATTACATGTTCTATATTTAGTCTTTATGTACATGAATATTGGCAGGACAGCTCTGTACATGTGACACACACACACACACACATACACACGCACACACATACACAGCGATACAGTGATAATAACACAGATCTCCAGCACAGAACACATTTACAAGATGGGCTCTAGAGCAAACACTGGCTGAGATACACACGGGAATGTCTGAGCTACGACAACTTCCTCATAAAACTGGAATTTTCTTGTAACAGTTACTATTGTCATCAATAAAACAGACAATTAAAAAGAGAGATGAAAAGTATAAAATAATTTAAATTCCTCCTAAAATGCGTCATGAATATGCGGTGACAGATCTATACAAAGCGGGCAGCTACTGTATCTCCTTGACACACTGAAACCGAAGGATGCAACAAACATGACAGACAAAAGCGAAAGTCATGCAGCAACAAAGGAACAGAGAAGATGAAAAAGGGCGATCTTCTTTGAAGTTCTGCCCTCCCAGTGGCAGCATGATGTCAAGATGACAAGCCTGGTAACAAAGCACCTCACGCTATGGGCCACCCAGACGTGCCACAATGAAATGTAAACATAAATATACAGGTTGAAATCTCTCTCTACAAACAGTTCAGTCCCTGCCACGGGCCCATCAGCTGTGTGAGTAGTCAGTCTGTATACACTCCTTAGTAGAATATCACTTAGAGTTAAATAAACTTATTTAATATATATATTTATAATAGATTTATTCTTTGCAGAGTCTTTTAGCAGTATTTCCTTGTTTTCACCAGTTTGTTCTGGTATTTTACTGAGTGGCCACTGTGTCCCACCACGTAAACGTCCAGCAGGTAGGTCTTTCCTGGCTCCAGACCTGTGATGGTTTCTGTGGTCACAGCTTTCTGCAGGTTCGGGCTGTGGAAGTACTTGCACAGGACCTTTTCTGACTTCCTGCGGGTCTCTGGTCCAGCACATTGATTTTGTTCCCGGCGCCGCTGCTCCTCGCCGTAATTGTCAGCCACTTCCTTGCGGTAAATGCAGTATTTGTTGCGGTCCTGCGTGCCCAGCCAGGCCACAGTGACGGAGGAGCAGGTGCGCAGCTTGTCAAAGGCCTTGATGCGTGTATCCTCCGGAAGTGAAGGGAAAGGCTGTTTGCTGCTGGGTCGGGTGCTGGCAAGCACCTTCAAAGTGGAGGCTCCTTTTCTGCTGCCACGGAAACGGATCAGGTATTTGGCTTTTGGCTTTCCCCGTAGCTGGAACTGCCGTATCCCCTCCACATTCTGGGAGAGCAGCAGCTTGCCATCTCGCCTCACCTGCACCTGCACAGCATCCAGACATGTGTGTACAAAAAGAGTGACCCTCTGGTGGGAAGACACGGGAGCGAAGCGCAGGAACTTGCTGCCCTTCCTTTTGATGAAAACCTCTGATACTTTGCCGTCCTTCAGCTCAACTGTCTTCTGACGAGCCTCCTCTTTAGTGCGAGCAAAGGTTCCCACATATGCTGTGCTGGTGTTGGTAGCAGCATTTACTGCAAACACATCAAAGTAGTACTGTGTGTCTGGTTTCAGGTCTGACACCGTGAATATGTTTTTATTGCCAATGCACACCTTCTGGATGTCTGATACCCTGGGCTTGGCTGCGTATGCCCGTGAGATCTTGTTACTTGTGAGGCCCCGGTCTTTGCCGAAACCATTGTCAAAGCCAAAGTGCACAAAGTCGAACGGGCTAAAGTCTCTGCCAGGCTTCGGAGCCAGCATGAATGCATCGTCAGTGCTGATTTTAGCCTCGGCAGCACACATGCTTTTGAAATTGTGCTCCTTGTTGATCACTACGCAGTACTGCACAGGCTGGCCCATGAGCAAGCCGGTAGGTGTCGGTTTCCAGGCCAGTGTGACGGTGGTACGGCCAAGTGCAGTGACATCCACGCGGGGGTCGTAGGGCAGCTCTGGGTAGGGCTGGTCAGACTCCGGAGTCGTGGTTGCGTACACCTTGAAGTTGCTGTCTTTCTCAGTGGACAGCAGTTCAAGCTGGTAGAGACCAGAAGGCGTGCTTGTGGCCACATAGGACTCCACATCATTGCCCTTGTAGGTGAAAAGCTCCGTCCCTTCATCTACTGTCACCTGCTGTTTCTGTTGGTCCAGAGGTTCAGGCTCTCCTGGAAGATAAAAACCAAACACACACAACATGAGCTGTTTGCTTTAGTCACCAAATTAGACAACCCTTGCAATATTTTCTTTTCTTCTTTGGCTTTGATGAAAGAAAATTTCCACCCAAACTGAAAACTGTTTAACGCTGCAAGATCATGACTAAGCCTCATGGATCATTATCCCACACCCATGGAAGCCATGTTTTCACTCCAAACATCCCCAAAGATCTCAGGCCAGCCTTCACTCAGCCTTTCTAGGGAAGTTTTGCTACAAAGAGGCGCCTTGTAGCTTCTATGTGAGAGGGACAGTCTAAGCTCTTACTCCAGCTTGAGCAAGAAACCATAATATTATGTTTGTCAACCAGAGAGAGTGTGCTCAGCGGTGTACTAAAAATTAAGCTCAAAGATCAACTCCCAATAGAGATTTCTAGCAGGAAAAGGCTGCAAAGACAGGAAAGATTTCACTAGCTGCTCTGTTTCTGCACCAGTTTTCGTGAAGTCACTGCCACTGCATGAGTCCAAATTTGTCATTATTCTTCCAGCTCAGGATGAATTCTCTTCTCTTGAAGAGACACTGTTGTGTCAGTGTCCACAACAGTGTAACTACCCATTTGATCTGACAGGAACAAAGACACACATGCAGGTGCTCATGTCTGGACATTCAAATATATGCTCACATCACACATCAGTGCTCTAAACCACTGCTTTAGTCATCTGGCAAGATCTCCTCTGCTGAAAGGACACCTTCCAGATGGGAAAAGGTTTTAATGTGAAGCAGAAAAACAGAAAAAATGAAGGGAAAAAGGAAGACAAACAGACTGAGTGTAGCGGGATTTATCTTAAGAAGACCGAGGCGACCTAAGTAAAGGGATGCAATGTCTTTGATTCTTTAGGGTGACTAGAAAACCACTGAAATTATAGACATCAAACTGGGCCGAGTCAGACCTCATAAGTGTTCAGACTAGACACTACATCTGTGACTTAATTAAAACCCACGAAAACACAAAGCCTAACATCACTGCGTAGGTTAATTGTGTGTGGGGATAGTCATATTTCCAGATAACGTGTAATTAACCTCTTCCACTGCTGCCTTATGTCAGTTATACCTGATCCTCCTCCGCTGGCGTCTTCTGGCAGCTCCTGCAGAGTGAGTTTCCACTCCAGAGGAGCATCACAAGGTGTCACGGTCACAGACAGGGGTGTGTTGTCTTCTTCCACCACAAAGTAGTACCTGTGAAAATAATAGGCCAGATATAAGCACCAGTGTTCATCATAGTTTGACATTATCCTAAATAATATGTGGAGTAAAGGCGTGAGCAGACTATAATAGGTGAAGCACGTGGTGGCATATAGTGTTTTGCCTTGAGTGGAGAAAGACTTTCTCATCTATTATTTAGTTTTTGCATCAACATAATAGATCCTATTACAGGGTAACATCTGATGTTTCCTATCTATTTACAGTAAGTAGACATCACCAGGTTTAATGTTTCCTTCAATGATTGAAGCAGTCACCAGCACACGGTTTAACTGGCTCATTTTTTTAACCACCACCCTGATATTGTTTGTCTCACAGAGCTCTTACCTTTTGGGTGTGTCTCTGAAAAGATAGCCACTGATCTCAGCTCCGTCCGGTATGACTGAGGAGTCGTGGAATAGCGACTTGTCTCTGATCTGCATCTGAAAAAGACCTTCATCTCTCGTAGGCAGTTTCTGGGCCACAGATCCAAGCCCCAACAGTACTAGCAGCACCACCACGCTCCAACCTTTACACTGCCTCATCCTGAAAGACACAGAAAATTGACTTCAGTTTCATTCAGTGTTTTGTGATTTTTCGCAGATGCTCCTGATCGTCTGAGCAAAGAATTCACTCTTCTTCTTCTATGGTTCTTAAATGAGGATGTGAAAACCACATGACACAAAGATGTCTTTAAGTAGCACTTTATTAGCCTTTTCTTGAGTATAATAAGTTAATCATTGCTTTGCCTGACTCCTTACAAATAAGAAACCTTTTCAACTCAAGGTGAGTCTGTGAATGACCTTATACCACAAGACAAATTCAATGTTAGCAAAAAGCTGATATGCTACAGGTGAATTTGCCCATTAGTTTAAATTTCCTTCATCTTCACATAACGTTTACTTTCATCATCCATGTTTCAGTCTATATGCCTACATATAAACACACCTATACATATATAACCACAACACGGACAACCTTGTCAGTTGCATTGACTCACAGGTGTCCCGAAACAGACAGCTGGAGCCAATCATTGTCTGTTAGTCCTGTCTCTGCCATTTGATATCAATAGACCGGATCTCTTCACTGTGTATGTGGTGGTGGTTCCTTTTGGAGCATTTTATCTAATATTATGGCTTGCTGTGTGAGTCAGATGATTAAAAGTTCATGCTTCAGCTTTGGTGAGTAAAAAAGGCGAGTAAAATTGCTTGCTCGGTAACCAAGCTTGCTAATGTTAGCATTCCACCCTTTTCTCCATATAAGGAAACTTCTGGCCCAAAAAAACACACCGATACAGTGGCGAGATCAAAATGCTACAGCTGACACTTCAAAATACAGAGTCCATAACCAATGTGTGATGTCATAGTGGCTATGTCCCTCGATTATTGAGTTAATATTAGCATACAGACTTGGATTGGCACAAGAAATTCCATATGTGTCACAGTAAAGACAAAAAACCTGCACAAACTATTTTTTTAGCTGGGTTATTTTTATTCTTTTCTTTCTTTACTAAGCTAAACTAATCAACCGTTCTTCTTAAAATTTCTAATTATTAGTTTACAGAAAAATTAAAAAAAACTTTGATAAAAGAAAAAGTTTAAGCATTTTTATTTCACATTTATTCGATCTGAAAGTACCCTGGGCCACCGCTAACACTGGCAGCATTAAAGTACCATGCACAAGCTACAGAGGAGAACATACAAACTCGAAACCACCTGCTGTGAGGCAACAGTGCTAACTACTGAGCCACTGTGTTCCTCATTGAGCTGAGCTGGCTGCTTTCATTGTTTCCAGTCTCATTATGCTAAGCTATGCTACTTGACTACAGAAAAGGCTGAAACTTGATGTTTAGCTTACGCGCATAAAATTAATATCAATCTCTCTTCTCAGCAAGAAACTGTATACCACAGTGAGTACCTCGTGCGTTAATGCACACTGTCAGTAAATATTAAAGGCTCATATTAGCTAAAGTATGTCTAAGATTTCTGTTTTTCTAATGGAATTTCTAAATAACCTTGTTTTATCTCTCCTTTTATTTTGACATTGGTTCAAAACTGCTGATGTTAATGAGTGTGAGCTGTGACATGCATACAGTGTTTTAGTGAGCTTCTGCTTTTGTCCGCAATGTAATATATTTCATGCTAAAATGTGCTTCTTATCCATGTTTTCCTCCTAGTTTCAGCCTTAATTAACATTTAACTTAAAATCCTGATCACCATCTGGGAACGAATCAGAGACGAAGAGCCCCTGAATGAGTACCCAAGGCCACAGAGAGGAAGGGGGATTAGATTTAAACAGGAATGTGTGAAGGAAAAGATATTGCTTGGCACTCCGGGGACCCACGCCGTTTCATAAAACGCTTAATATAAAAATCCCCAAATCCATGTAGTTTAAGTTTTATTGACGCTAATATAAAAATGTTTGAAGATGCAATCCACAGTTGGAGCTGCAGCCGATGTGGCTGAGAGGCTCTCACGTATCCCCTGTCTATTGATTTCTGCCCATTGATTGCAGCTGATGGGAATGCCAAATCCCCGGTGATTTAATCAGTGTAATGATGGCAGATTAGCCAGATACTTTACTGCCATTTACTGCAAGTGAGATGGTGTCCTTTTAATGACCCCTCTCCCTTTCTCTGCTCGCCCTCCTTTGTCTGTCTCCTTCCCTTGATCACAGTTTTTTTTTTCATCAAATAATCTCTTTCACACTTGTACACACACATCCCCTCCTCTCGGTTCGTCTTTATGCTTTCTCCTCCTTCACCGCCTCCCTCAGCAGAGGCAGATAAGTAAAACCAGAGGACTCGGGCATGGACGAATATCCACACTACACACAGGGCTTCATTTCTACATTATAGTCCTTTAAAAACACAAGCAGGGAAAAAAGCCCATGACAGCTCCTGTCAGTGTCTCTGCTGTTGTCTGAGCTCAGCCTCCCGTCACACCGCCAGACTTCAGAGAGCAAAAGGAAAGCCGCCTAAGTGGTACTTTGAGGTTTGACTCACACAGAGACTTGAGATCCTTATCACCTCGGCTTGTCTCATTCCACTTCAGAAACATGTCAGTTGGAACAAAGACATGTCTAATAATACTTAAGACAGCGCTGAGGTAGTACGCGCAGAGTCTCTCAGTAGCATGCACAGCATTTCTCAGAGCTGCCTTTCTTTCAAACATCCCAAAACACTCCACAAACACAACGAGGGCCTCGTCCCCTCACCCGGCTTTGTCCGCCGCAGTCACACACTGAGGTTTTTAATCACCGCTGCCTTAAACATTTGATGCGTGCCTTCCTCGTGCTCTTCACATGTGACACCACATACTGTATATTGCAGGGAGATGACATCTAAATATCAGAGCAGTTGTGTTGGGTCACTGTGGTTGCATGGACCAGCGCAGAGTCAACATGGTCACACAGCCGGCGCTGGATGTGCTTTTACATGCAGGCCTGCACCATTCTCATGCCACAGAGTTCCCTTACGAAAATAACACATTAAAAAAAGCTGCATCTGGAACAAATAAAGTCTAATGTTTAATTAGAATGGGGAAGAATGTATGATCCCAATTTAGGGAATGGATAATTTTAAGGCAAAGTAACCCACAGTCGTGTCAACTTTGTTTTGCTTTTGCCTTTCATCTCTTTATTTATATATTTATAGGTTTTTGTTTCACTTTCATTGGTATTTGCCAAGTATTTTCTGTAGAAAACATTGTGTATTTTCTAATTGGCAAGCTGTGGAATTTAGAGAACTGTGTAACTGGATTAAAGGACAAATGCAGGAGTTTACAATGGGTGAAAATAGTCCCAATTTTCTTTCCCATGGCTGTCTTTGACACATCTAGAGTATCAGTCTTAAACAAATAAAACAAGAAAGGACCCCCACCTCCTTTTCCTTCCTGTGTAATCTGTAGAATTGCATCCTATCAATTGAGTTTCTACTTTAACAACTTTGACCCAGCTCTAATTTGGGGTCATTACAAGCAAATCATGTGCACAGCCAAAACAAAAATGTTCACACTTTGTATTTAAATCTCCCAGATGGATGCAATCTTTTCAGCGACATCAATCCGTAGCAGAATCAAAATCGTTTACGATCCACTGAAGATTAAAGTGAGAAAAATATCAATTACATGCAACCATTTGGCCACAACTTTCATCCACCTGATCGACTCTGTGTGCACGTGTGAGAGGAGCGTATTTTCAGCAAGAACATGGTGATTATAAGCACGTGATTTTCACGTATGGGGCTTTTTCTGATCACAAGGCAGGCTATATCCATGCAACCCCCAGCCTTGTCCTGCGTGCGTGCACGTATATGCTCACGTGTGTGTGCGCAAAACACCCACCACCACCACCTACACTCTCTCACTTCACTTTGTTTCTCTCCTTCCCTCCAGCCCCTTGTCAAGATGGATAAGCCTCCTGCCTGCTGCCACATGGAGCTCATTAACAGAACGAGAGGGAATAAAAGACAGTTTAATTTCAACACAAATAAAGAGACATTTCGGATTCCACCCAACAAGACGCCTGGCATGAGCTCGCAGGACCTGAAGCCTCTGTGTGTTTTCTTAAAGGAAGTCTAGATTTATGGCGGGTCCTCGGTAGCGAGCTCCATCATGGCTGTCACTTCAGGGCCAATGTGGGGATTAGAGTAAGTAAAGTATATGCAGGAGCCAAAGAGGGAACCACACAGGACCTGGACCTGTTCTATAGGCAGGCCAAACCAAATCAGGTCTGGTGCTCTTGGACAGCTAAACAGCTTATTAATAAATTGGTAGAGACTGTGGTAAACGCTCTGATCCAACAGTGGAGATTTTAATCTGGTGTGTGTGTGTGTCCATACGTGCACACATATGCGGGTCCAAACCATTGCATTCCTCTGCTCCACTCTGTGTGTAAGTCTAAATCATCACTCAGGACCTGACTCCTCGCCATCCACAACATCGCTCGCAGTTTGAGTTTCTGAGCTATCCACATCATCAGAACCACTAAGGCTGGCACAATAGCATCATGGAAACCAGAGCCCAGTTTCCTTTCCTTCTTACCCTCCCCTTTCCTCTTCGCTCCTTTATATTTCATCTCTGATCCCTGCCTTTAGCTCTGCATCCTGGAAATTCTCTATGAGGGGGTCGCGGGGGCGCTTTCTGCGTAAAAACAACTCAAATAGAATTGAGGGTGGGGGAGTGGCGGTGTCTCTGACTGATGTGCTGGCATTGTGGCTGCAAGGGTGATTAAAGATTACAAGAGAAAATGCCCCCCCATGGGAAAGTCATCCACCCACTGCCCATCATCCGGTGCACGCATGCACGGGCCTGGCCCCGTCGTGGGAAATGAGTCAATCATGATCCGGTATGTTGTGCTTGGTTGAGGAGGCAGAGAAGGGGAGCACAGAAAGCCTGTTCAGCAGCTAGTGCGAGCAGGCTCTGCCTCTTCTTGTGTCCATCTGAGGGAGCATAATGAGGAGCTTTGCAATGAGCGTGCCCGGGCGGGGGGAGACGAGGAGAAGCGCATGGTGTGTGGATATGATGAATAATTTAACAAGGAAATAAAAACTTTGCGCCCTTAATCTTCCAGCACTGACTCTGGATATGTGACAAAAGGCAGCGGAGAGGCGACTGTATATACACCACTGAAGCCTGTCACTTCTCTGGACGCAAAACGGCTATAGCAACACTGGCGGAATTCTTTCAGCCAGAGAGTTTTCATATGCAAATCATGGTTTAGTTACGGTATGCGACGCAGACCTTCCCATTTTAAGACTTTTTTGTTCATGATTCATTCTCCTGAGAAAGTAGAAGGGAGGCAGTGTGGCTTCACCCTGCTACTAAATACAGTTATTCAAATCCCCACTCCGGGTATGTCTCTCATTAAACACCGACTGAGAGCCTCTCACATGGACCGAATGAGGAAAACAACTCCCAACACCAGCTAAATTATCATTAATCTGCCTGGAATAATTCTAATTGAAACTATGCAGACGGTGCCAAGTCAAATAAATCCAATTTTTCCACTTATATTAAAAAGCAGCTCTTCATTACGCGCTTCACTAAAGCCTGTCTGGGCTCTTACAGGTGCGTAAAAGGAACCCAGTAGTGACACGGTGAAACTAACATTTATCAAAACTGTAGTCCTTATATAAAACTTTTACATTTTACAACTAAAAGCGAACAGAGTGAAAACACCACAATTGGTGCACAGGTAGCTAGAAATACAGCATGTGTAGAAAAATCGCCTGTGTTGGGTGCTGTGTCACCCCTGGGAGCATGGGAACTGTCGCGAGGCACAAAACAAGAGGATTTTCGTAAAGTTCATCAGCTCATCTGCCCCGTGTGATATAAAGTCCAAAACAAAATAAACTAGAATTAAAAAAGCATGCGAGTTGTGGCTTGAATGAAATGCGTTTGAAACTTTTAACTTCCTGGAGTTGTAAACCGCAAACCGTTTCAAAGGCACCAGCTACTTTACTCAGAGAGTCCGACTCTGAATTCATGCGGAGCTTGCATGCATATTACAAAATAAATAAATAAATAAATAAATAAAGCTACAGAAAAGTTTGAGAAAATAAAGAAGTTTTTTCTCATATAATTGCTCGAAGAATCGGACAAACCGCTACACTGCAGAGAAATCAAGCGAAAAATAAATGCATAATCTTTACAAGAGACAGTCTTACCTCTCGCAATATGAATCGACGACGTTATCTGCAGAATGGTGTCTGTTTTTCTTTAAAAGAAAAAAAACTCTTACAAAAGTGCTTTAAAACTAAATCGATTGATGTAAAAATAAAAAAAAATAAAAACACGCGCTGTCCTCTGCAGTGTCCAGTATCCCCTCCTTTAGTTTTCACTTCTATTGTTGGTGTCTATCAATCGGATTAGACGACTCTGGTGCGTGCTTGCAGTTTTCTTGTGGATTGAACTGGTCTCTGGTGGGCAGGAGTGTGTGTGAGAGTGTGCGCGAGTGTGTATGAGTGGGTATCCCGAGTGCTGGCAGTGCGTCCCTCCCCTGCCGCGCCGCTGCTATTGAAACCTCCACTGGATTGGAGGCAAAACTAGTGCGAACTTCTTCTTCTTCCCTGCGCTCCAAGACAGAGAACCAGCCCACTCTTTCAGCAGCAAGCCACAAAAAATATCCCAGCAAGGACCAGACTGAGTATTACTCCCAGGTGTGACCGGCCCTCATACTGAAAGCATATAAGGAGAGGGAAACAAATCCACAAGCCAAAAATCTTAGATGAACAGAAGCAGTGTGTTGCTGAAAACAGCAAGATGCCACCTGAGCGTAACTCTAACTACTCGTGGTTTTTAGAGACCGGCTAATAACATACTTGCAAAATAAAAGTATGTGGGGGGAACCACATACTTTTATTTGCAAGCTGTTTACTGTGATGCTCTCTTTAAATTATTAGTTTAGGCAGTAGCGCCCTGTTGAAGTCACGCAGCCCTCGGGGCTACAGTGTGCAGGCAAGTTTCATCATGGGCCCTGATACCTGGGAGGGCGTGAAAAACATGATCAGAGCACACAGCTTTAACGGCGTCACAAAAAACAAAACAAAATAAAGACATAACATTTTCTATGTGGAATGTGACAGTGAACCTGCACCAACACAGGGTTTAACTGTGGAAATTCCCAGGGCGGTATTACTGGAGTTGTTGTCTCTTCCTGGGTTGAAGCCCTGGGAAGCAAATATTTATCCAAGATAAGAGCTCTTGACTGTCACGGAAATGAATTGTCCGAAATTTATGACTTGATGGGTGTCCGTGTCTGATGACAAGACAATAGATCTAAAGGAAGCTGTCGTTTCCTGAGCTTCCTCCACAGGACCGTCTTTAAAGTGGTGTATCTGCACATCTTCACACATGAGCGGCTGCAGGTTTCGCGCTGCTTCCTGCTGGTTCAACAGTAGCACCTTCATCTACAGGTTGGACCAGACCTCCCATCAATGCTTCCTACTAGTTGTCGAAAACAAAGGTTTATGTTTTCATGGAAAACAAGTTTTGTGAAGATTTAACCAGTGCATGTAGCTGCACTAAGAGGCATAATCTTTACAGAGAGCAAGTAAATTGTGAATGAAAAAAGAGACACCGACAAACATAAAGATATCATTTTCATAATGTTTTCTATGATTTGACAAAATTAGGAAAACAATCCTGGATTTAATGAGCATGCATACTGGTACAAATTTGCTGTGTCGCAAACTCCTGGCAGCAAAAAGAAGGACAGTTTTGGTACAACAGCGTCATCTAGCGTTTACCAGAATAAGGTCACACAGGACACAAACGTTTGTAAGGACATGAACACAAGTGACTGCACAGCACAGAAAAGTTTCAGTTTAGTTGTCATGACGATTATTTTACATAGCAGATTTAAAAACACAGATGCTGACAACAGTGGCACACAATAAGCGATTGAAACAAAAAAAGCATTTAAACTATTACATTTAAACAATACACACAAGTGGAAATCATTTCTTTAAAAAACACTATATACAGAGTGAGAGAAGATAAGATCATAAAAGTGCATTTTTCTGTGATGCAGAAACTGACACCACAGATGTAACCCACACAGGTGTGTGATGCCTGGGTTTATGATCAGTGTTGCTGTGACTTCCACATCCTTGCGATGAAAATAGATGCCAAATTCAAACTGCTATTAACCCCACCACAGAGCAGTGAAAACGAATCCACTCTGGGGACATGTATATTCACAATAACCCAGAATCACACACACACACACACACACATGCAGTGACCCGGCTACATGCCAGAATCTTGAAAACATATCCACACCAGGGACAGTTTAGTACAGATGGAGGGAGGGGGTGGAAAACGCTCCTGTAATCTTAATCCCTCTGCACTCTTCAACTACAGAGACTGAATCAGTCAAATTTTATTAGATTTACTAAACATTTGCACACAAGACACATTTTTGACCTTTCACCCTTTTCTGGAAGTCAGCGGAGCCACTCGTGCTCTTTTGTAGCGACGCCCTGTTTCACACGTGCACGTCTCATACAGTAGATGCACATATGCTCACTGGGCGGGTTCACTCAAACATTGGTGGAGTTAACCACCTTCCTTAGAAGACATCTCAACAGACAACCTATTTTTGTGAACTAGGATTATTTAGTAAAATTGAAACTGTTAACTTGCAAAATCTCAACTCAGTGCATTTTAACTTGATCTGATTTCTTCTAAGATGAGATTGTACAGCCAAGCAGGCTAACATGGTGAAGTTAAGGAAGTAGAGCATTTGCTATGTTCACCAACTTTTACTTATGGCAATATTACATGTCATCATCTTTGTTTCTTTCTTTGATTTATGTATTTTTCTCTTTATTACCTCGCTTCCTGCAGGTATTTATGGTACTTAGTGTTTACTGTTTGCTTTCTTTTTATCTCTGTGTATCACCCCATTCGTCCCAGCCCGGTGAGGCAGACTATTGTTTTCAGTGAGTCTATAAAAGCATCTTTTACAGCAATAAATTCAAGTCGTTTTTTTCTGTATGACTATGTGCTTTATTCTGTAAAGATCCTAGATTATTAGAGAGAAAACTCCAACAATTTGGTGACAGTGGGAAGAAAGAACTCCCTTTAAACAGGAACAGACCTCCAACAGAACCAGATTATTAGGCTCAGTGCAGACGTTTGTACATTCTACATTTTGTTGAGACACAAATCAACAGATGTGGATGTATCCTTCCACCAGAGCTTTTTTAAAAAGTGTAACAGAAAAATAGGATTGACCGCTCATTCATGCAGTCAGCAGCTGTCTCTGTGCATGTACTTGAAATCTGCTCAAATGACACATCACAGTTGGTGTACTTATAATGTAGTGTAAAAAAAAATCAGTGGGATGGTGATCTTTGCGTATATCCTTTGATGAGGAATTTTACATTTCAGACTCTAGCAAACCCCTGCCAATTCCTGTGTAGAGAAGCAGTATGACTAGTGGGTCAGCAAAGACTTACCCTCTGGGAGTTCATGAATGCTTGCGCAAAATTTCAAAGTAATAAATCCTGTAGTTGTTGAGAATTTTCAAAACCATAGTGGTGAAAGTGTGAGCCAAAGAAAAACATTTAAAGCTTATTGTTGGAATTGTCCATAGAAACTGGAATAACATTTATGTTAGACACATTCTTGGTAAAACTGTATTTTTTTAATGGTGGTAAGTGAGAATAATGGCCTTTATAATTTGTGTGAACCAGGCTTTTATCTATGTAAGCTTAACCCGGCGAACTTCAGCAAGGATTAGTGGTTTATTATCAGCGTGAAACTTTGTGGGGCTGACGTGTTTGCTTTTGGATATCAAGTCACACACTCAAGCAAACTTGTTTTCCATCCTGATTGTTTTCTCGTAGCATCAAAACGTCAGCAACTGGTGTTCTTTTACATTTCCAGCCACTGCCTTAGACTGAGGTTTTCTAATGGAAACTGATGTCTTGGGTTTATGATGTAAGAGAAAATGTGAAGTATTTTGTGGCTTAGGTCAGTCTAAACAACAGATGCATGTTGAGGGTCCTTATATACTGGACCCATCCTCAGTGTTTGCTTTGGGGATTACTCTGTCACTGATTGCTGCCTCATCTGACTGATCTCCTTACACTTCCCCAATGACTTAGGTAATCCATTAATGCAGGGAGGTTAGAAAGTAAAATCTTACTGGACTGAAATGCATTTATATGATGCTGAGCAGAGTCTTGATGGTGCAATCTGCACCACTCACCTCAAATCCATTTAAAGTTGTCTGGGAGGCTTTCTGTCACAGCTACAAAAAGGTGACAAGGTCTGCCTTTTAGCAGTCTGCTTACTTAAAACGGAGTTCATCATTAACTCAGCGGAGCTGAGAGCCTTCTCCAGATAAACCACTCTGTAAACATCTCCCCCCATCATTTTTTCCCTCTTGTGTCTTGTTAAGGGGTGCAGGGAGGACAAACACTGACCTAGCTAAAGATGGTACACATCTTCTCATTTTTTTCTAATAGATACAGTGGTCAAAGTATGCAGTTTTGCACACTGAGTGATACCGAAGGCATCATCAGAGCAAGATAGAGTGGGAGGAGAGGCAGAAGGTTACAGTTCAAGGGAAAGAATGAGGGAGGGAAGGATGCAACGGGAAGTTGGGCCGTGCAAGTTTTACCACATCGTGTACCCACCTGGCCTTTAACAGATACCTTTATCATCTCGTACCAAATGAACCTATGAGTGGAGATAAGACAGACCTAAACAGGGATTTTATTACATTTTTATGTTAAAGAGCTCCATTAAATTTGCAAAGACCAATACGGATAAACCTACAAACATTTAGGTTTTATGAGCAGTTCCAAAATTAGTCTATATGCCATCTTTTAACTCCCTCATTCACTCATCTTCTCTTTTTCAAAAGCTCTTTTGGCTTTTGTGGGAACAAAAAAAAGACTAAAAGCCACAACTGGAAGCAGATGAAAGGCAACAAGAGTAAAGAGCGAATGTCGTGTCAGCATCTAACGTCTTCTCATTATCCAATAAGAGAGAAGCAGTTGTCAGTGTCCAACTTCATCCTGTTATCCAGAGAGAAAGATGGATGGTAGTGGTGCCTGAAATACTCAAGGGACCTGGAGAAATAAACAAAGTGCAAACTTTTAGTCTCACGATCACTCACGCACCGAGGGAGATTCTAACAGGAGTCTATCCTGGGCCTTTTTAGTGAAACTCTAGAGCATAGCTGCTCCAGGCATGGTATTCCCATTGTAAACACAGTCATGAGGAGGCAGAGACAAGTGGAGGAGGATCTGCTCTCCCCAATCTGTTTTCTGTCTACAAGCGAAAGGAGGACAAACTAGAAACATTACATCATGTGTAACATATTACACAACTGGTGTTCACACTTTTGTCCTCTAAACAGAAACTTCAAGTGATTATCTTTAAGATGTCAGAGACCATTTAAGGTTATTCTATCCTCTTACTTTACATGTATTTACACTAGCCTCCTATATAAAGTAGTTGTTATTGTTAATCGTTGTCGCCATTACAGCCCTGCATTCAAATTGCCTACATATACAGTAGCTTATTTAGGCTACACTGTAAACTGATACACAAAGTAGCCGCTCAAACAACACTGGCTGCAGCATTGCACCAGAACTTGTGGTTATCCTTAGAGTGCATATGAAAGATATCTGCAGCTTTCATTTGTAAGAAGTGACATCATTGCATGACTTATAACAAAAAGAGTTTTAAAAAGAAGATTGAATTGAAGTGTACTGGAAAAGGGCCCTTGACTTTCCTGCTCTATGACACCG